GAAAAGGTAGTCATGTGGCACCTTCAGAGGATCATGGAGGAAACGGATTATCTGGACCCCTATCAGTCAGGGTTCAGGCCCGGTTATGGGACAGAAACAGCATTGGTCGCACTTTTGGATGATCTCTGGTGAGAGCGGGATGGGAGTAGTGCATCCATCCTTGCTCTTCTTGACCTCTCGGCAGCTTTCGATATGATCGACCATGGTATCTGTTTGGGTCGGCTGCAGGAGTTGGGACTGGGTGGCACAGTGTTCTGCTGGTTCATCTCCTTTCTCCAAGGCCGAACCCAATCAGTGTTGATAGGGAGCAAGAGGTCCAACCCAGGGCCCCTACTCTGTGGGGTGCCTCAGGGTTCGGTGCTTTCGCCGCTCCTATTTAACATCTACATGAAACCGTTGGGGGAGATCATCCGGCACCGTGGAATGAGGTATCATTAGTATGCTGATGATACCCAATTATACATCTTCATCCCAGATGACCTAAGTGATGCTGTGACTACCCTCTCGCAGTCCCTGGAGGCTATAGGGGCCTGGATGGGGGACCACAGGCTTCAACTGAACCCTGGTAAGACGGAGTGGCTGTGGGTATGGGGAGCCTCAAGATTTAGGAGTTTATCATCTTTGGTTCTTGATGGGGTTGCACTACCCCAGACAGACCCGGTGCGTAATCTGGGGGTCTTCCTGGACTCATGACTCCTGTTCGAAGAGCAGGTGGCAGTCGTGGCTAGGAGGGCCTTTGCGCAACTCTGTGTTGTGCGGCAGTTATGCCCCTTCCTCGATCAGGGGGCCCTCCGCACGGTCACTCATGCCCTGGTCACCTCCTGGTTGGATTAGTGTAACACGTTCTACATGGGGCTACTCTTGAAGAATATCCAGAAGCTACAGCTGGTGCAGAATGCAACGGCGCAGCCAGTTCTGAATGCCCCTAGGAGGGCACATATAACACTGCTGTTATGCGAGCTGCATTGGTTGCCAGTCTGCTTCCGGGTCCAATTCAAGGTGTTGGTCATCACCTTTAAAGCCCTTCAGGCCACAGAACCAGGTTATCTGAGGAGCTGTCTCGCCCCGGTTACTTCAGCCCGCCCCACTCAGTCCAGCAGGAGGGGCATGTTGCAGACCCTGGGGTCTAGGCAGAGGGCCTTTTCTGCTGTGGCAGAATCTTCTTCCCGAGGTCCGGTGTGCCCCCACTTTCATGGCCTTCAGGAAAGGAGTGAAATCCTGGCTGTGCCAGAAGGCCTGGGGTCTGGATGGGGGCTCGCACCAGTGGATGTGGCTTGTGGGATGATTGACCATGCCCCCCGTCATCTTGAATGTTTTTACTATTTATGTGCGGGGTTTGCTGTCTATATTTGATTTTTAATGGATTAATTTATTTTAACTATTTATGGGGGAT